CGGGTGGGAGGGACAAGGCGAACCGCCTCCCCTCGCCGCCTCCCGGGCGCACGGCTCTGGTGCCGCTCGGGCTGACTCCAGCCACTACAGCGGCTGCAGCTCATTCACTCTTTATTAGCTCCCTGCCGGCCCCAGCCCCTTCTCCAGTGAAGTGAGAAGCGGTGGTTGGAGACTCCAGAAGCTCCCGCGTGGGGTTCTCGGCGCTGCCCCCCGCGCCTGCGTGGCCAACCCTCCATCCCGGCTTTGCCCAGCCTCTTTCTCCACCCAGATCCTCCCCTAAGGCTCCGCCCACGCTATCCTCCTCTCGCAGGCTGGAAACTCCGCCCCTCCGCCCCCAGACCCGAGGCTCCTCCTACCCATCTCCCGCCCTCGTCTAGTTTCTTTCACCTTTGTTTTCGCTCGGGAGAGCCCCGGGGACCTAAGGACGACTGCTGGAAGACAGCCTGGGAGGGGCAGCTAGAGGAGAAACCACACCGGGGAGGATGCGGTCGCTCGCCCGGCTGCTGCTCGGCGGCGCCTGGCACCGGCTGGTTCTCAACCCCAGCGCTGTGTGTGCCAAGCGCTGCCAGGCGTAAGTCCGGTCAGCTGGAGACTTCTGGGGATCGGGAAAGGAAGAACAGGTTTGGCGAGGGCTGCAGCGTCGGTTGCCACAAACACACACGCTACCTCTCACACACGCTCATAGAGCGTGAGCGGAAATGGGGAGCGGGGGATACTGGAGAGCTTGGGGAAGGGGGTATTTTAGGAGGAAGAGATTTCAGCTCTGAATCTACCGTTGTCTCGAATGTCAATGGAAAGACGTGTGGGGAGGGAAATGTTCCCGCAGTAGGTTATAAAGGACCCCAAAAGAGGAAAGAAAGACGCGTACACACATATACACGCCCCGCATTTGCGGGGGGCCTTTCGTGGTTTCAGGGGGAATGTCAGGCTGACCCTGAGAACAGAGGAGAGACGCCTCTGCCATCCAGTACCGAGCTATTACCTAGGAAGGCGGGAAGCTAATGCCCTTTCCTTTCCGCCCGGATGCAGGACTGGATGGAAGGCGTCCAATATGTTGAAATATGGTGTAGAAGAATGGCTGTGTAGAACGAGCTCTGGGTACTAAAGTTGCAAGACCAAAGAGGGCCGTGAGCTGCCCGCCACACCTCCTGGCTTGACCCCTTTCTGCAAGACTCGTCGTACTGGTGGACCTAGATGAACACTACAGCGGCGCCCCCTGCTGCATGGCAACCACAATGCATGGAAAACAGACCTGTGGAGGGCTGACTCCCTCCTGCCCCCTCCTCCGCACCCGCCCCATCCAAAGGCAGCACCTAACCAGGAAGCTCTCCAAAACTGAGGCAAGAAATTGAATTGAGCCCCCTGGATGTCTGGCAGTGGCCCGAAAAGCAAATACGTACTGTGGTTCGGGCGTCTGCAAAACAAAGCTCCATCTTTTTCTGATTTCACAAAGAGATATGCAGAGACACAGATGAAATGATGGATATTCATTACACCTATTATGCCATGCACGGTGGGTCCATTATTGTGCTCTGGGAAAAATATAAGTAAAGATACATAAAAGGGAATTGTGTCTTTAAAGGCAGAGATTGATCTTTTACTTTTTATCTCTATGACCTCTGCTCATTATTGAAAAGGTTTAAAAATCCTTTCTATTGACTCATCAAGGTCTTCTTCACTGTATTTACACATTGACATTGGATCCTAGTACACTGGAGGATGAGCACCCTGAGAGTTTTGAGTCCCCACTCTGCTCTTATTATCTGGGCGAACTGGCAGTCACCTAACCCCTTTGGGCCTCAGTTTTCTCACCTATAAAACAGTGATAATAATACCTATCTGTAGGTAGTATTATGAAGATTAAAGTTGTTTACTTGTGAACACCTGGAAGAGTCCTAAGTACAATAGAAGTTTTAAGTATTTCATCATTATTATTATTATAATTATTATTATTCTCTCCCACTTCCTCCTGTCTTTTTCGTTAACTAAAACCTAGATGTTTACCTCCAAAACATAGACCATCACATCCACACTGTTCCAATCCTAGTCCAAGGTACACTCATTTCCTGCATAGACTAAGGCCGTAGCCTGCCAAGTAAGTCTTCTGCTCTTGCAATTGCCCCTCCCCCCCAGTCTTAACTGCAGGCATTAGAAGATTCTTTTGAAAACCTACAATTTTCCTACTTCAAAATGCTCAGTGATTCCCTGTCGCACATCAAGTAAAACCCTAACTTTTACCATGGCCAGCCAGACCCTCCTTTGGCCCTGATTACCTCTGTCCCTTCACACTGTGCTCCAGTGCTCTAGCGTCACACCATACCCTCTCTGGAATGGACCACTTTCTCTTCTGCCCACATGCAATGCTTTCTCCCCACACCTTCTCTAGCGCCTCAGCATTCAAGTCTTAGTTCCAATGCCTTCACCTCAGAAAGGCTTTCCCAGCCCACGCTTGATAACCTAGCCTCCCCCCAGCAATCTTATCCCATCCCCCTACATTATTCATAGGATGCACTGTATCTGGAATCACCACTGGAATGGCAGCTCCCAGAGGGCGAGGACCTTATCCGTCTTCCACATAATACCCAGAGCCTTTAACATCTGGGCAGGTAGAAGAAACTAAAACAAAAGCAAACCAAAAAAAATAAAAAACTTGGCAAATGAACAAATGTGCTCTGCAGAAACGATAACAACTGAAAATCAACAAATTTTCATCAAGAGAGAATAGATAAACTGATTTGTTGTTGATGTTAAAGATAGTAAAGAATTAACAAAGGAGAGAGGAAGTAGGTTAAAAATTCTAAGAATGCGTCAATTTTGCAGGAAAACCTGTGGTGGCAGATCACACAGAGACAGCTCTGTTCAATAGTGAAGAGATCGCAAGAAGCATAAAAAGTATTAGAGAAGTTTGGGTTCGGTATGCTAAAAGCTTACAAATAGCGTTTTCCAGAGCTGCCTCCATTGTCAAGGTTCCAATAGTTTTAAAGAAATATATTATACACTCCTCCTCCACCAACTCCTTTCTCCTCTCCCCACCCCCAACTCCCCTGAATTGGAGGCTGAGGAGACAGAAATGCCGCAAAATAGCACATCTTGCTGTCCCTGATGAATAGAAGGCTGCAAATCCAGCTGTGTTTGAAACATCAGGTTGTTTTTAATACATTTTTCTATTCTAATTTAACACGGGTTTCAATATTCTAGTGCATTAAGCCTTGGTCGCTTTCAGACTGCTCTCCAAAGGCTGAGAAGCAGCCAATACTTGCATTTTCTCCCCTCCTTGAACAACTTGGAGGGGGGGAATCGGATTAAAGATGTCATCAGTATCCTTGGAGAGAATATCAAATCTGGGGACACTGCTTTATTAAGGTGTACTTACC